GGTCAGATCATTTACCTTTGATGACCTCGGTTCACATTTTCGAGTTTTATATGTTTCTACTTTCTAGGCTAGTTTTTGGAGCTGAATTCGAATTAAGCAACCATTTGACCATTTACGAAGTAGTTTTGGTGCCTTCGTAACATGTTACGAAGCTGTCAGAGGCGGTTGCCACCTACTACGAATACCCGGCAAAACCCTTACTGGTTGACCTGACCTGACCTGACCTGGCCTAAATGCATGAAGACATCATCTATGATCATAACTAACATGATATTCGTGATCAGCACCCCGAAAAACCATAGCAGCCACTCTTTACGACGCTCTAACAGGTCCCGATTTTCCCGACTTTTGGGTCAATGACCTGACCTGGAAGGTCAACCGATGACCTAGGACCTTAAAATTGGGTATAATCGGCTTCCTTTTATCACGGGCAACACGGTCGTTTTTTCCGCGAAGCTCTAGCTCGATCAGGGGCGAAACGGCAAGGGGGAGGGTCCAACGGACCCCCCCCCCCCCTATACGCTCGCTACTGGAAACACCAATACGGGCGAGGGTTAATGGATTATTAAAGACAATTTTCCAGGTTGCCCCCCCAGTCAAATTCCCTTAAAATAGGCTCTGGTAGTCGACTACCTATACTGTTAAGGAACTCCGGCTTGTACTAGCATACTAAAAGGGTCGTAAAATTTGTGTTTTGGAGCTGTGTTTTGACAAACGTTTTTTTTTTTGTGCAAATTTGCGCAGCGCTTCGCGCCGCCGGTTCGTTAACAGGTCAATAAGAGAGATCGCTACTGTATGCTACTAATGCATTAGGCTAAAAGTGCGGTTACATCAACTTCTGGGTTTTTAAGTCGGTTGATACGCCCCCCCCCCCCCCAGTAAGAACTCCGTGGCGACGCACTTGTATAGGTGGATTTAACTTAAACTACTGAGCCGAGTGACTTATAACGATAAAGCTTCATCTTAGAAGCGGCGAAGACGAAATGCCTTTTGATCTCGACATACTCGCTCCCCCTCCCCCGGTCGTCAGAATTCATCCATCAGACCCGGCATGTCGGCCGACCTGTAACCCCCCCCCCCCCCCACAAAAACGTTCGCCTAGATCCTCCCTTGCCCTCTGTAGAGAGGAGGCCCCCGGGATCCTCCGCCCCCCCCCCCCCTTGGCCAAATCCTAGGTACGTGCCTGCAATTGTTTCGTGCATTTTGAGAGTATTCGTGTGGCTACACGACCTACAACTTTAAAAACAAAATTATGCTTCCAATGCTATGCAGAATGTGGGGGTTTTGCGAAATACTACAACATAAATTGTTCTGTCACTGTCCTGTTTTACCGATCACAATCCGCCTAATTTGTCGATACCGCTATCGTGGCCCTAGAAGTAGTCGAGGAGGTCCCTGAAACAGCCAAAAGGGAGCCATTAAACAGTCTACAATCTTTACACAAAAACTTGACCCTTCCGAAATGAAGTGGGTGATTGGTGAAAAATGAGTAGGTAGGTACCTAGATTTTAGGAAAGTGCAGGGGTACCTCCAAGGAACCCCTGAAACAGTTTGCCAAACTAGGGGATAGGAATCTAAATACTGAATCAATCAAGAAATTGAATCTCTCATCAGTCTTAAGTATAAGAAGAGCATACATATACCGTTTTAGTGGCATCACTTTGCATTTGAAAAGAGCGGGAACATACACTGCATAAATGTGGTTGCAAAACGTTGAGCCGGAATATAAATACCTACGCCTTATTTTATAAGCCTGAACTTGGATCCAGGGGAGAAAAAGTCATATCACTCAAGTCATAGACCCGCTTTTCACCACCATGGTCCACGCTCCCTCCCCCCCCCCCCCCGGTCAACACCTTTTCCACTGCTGTTTCCCCCCCCCCCCCCCCGCTCAGCACCTTTCGTCGCCGCCCCACCGGCGTCCGGGGTTCAGCCCCCCCAACCAGGGGGGTTCGCTCCCGTGCCTTCAGCATTACGAAAAATGGAAACAACCCGTGAGCAGCATCAGCTGCTCACGTATATGTTCAAGGAAAACAACATGTAATGGACTGCTGATGACGGCCCTCTCCACCAATCAGCGCTCGGCATCTCGAGCGCTGATTGGCTGGTAGCAAACGCGTCATATGTGGGTCTCATTTTTTTGCGATCAGTGAACGCGTTATTTAATACACAGTGGCCTATGGAGAATGGCACGCGGAACTGAAGGTCAGTGTTATATTGCTTCGTACATGCGAATGGGGGTATTTGAGTGGCATTTGACACCATTTTCGAAATCTACAGTGAATTTCTGATCGACTCATGTATATATTTTTATGAATTTGATAGTATTAGTGCAACATAGTCGGTGTTTTATGTTGGTGTTGTTTCTCTCTACCTTTGTCTTGGACTTTTATCATATCTTTTCTCGAAAATGCTTGCCATAACAAAGTCTAAACTGTATCTGTATAAGAGATAATTTGTGTTGAATATGAGGAGAAAGTAGTTATGACCATTCTGCCCATCAAACTGCCAGAAGGTGTTCTTGTAAGGTGATTGAAACTTCAGTACGGGTTGCAGATGTGGGTTTGACATTAGCATTGTTGTTGTAACCCCACTTGCTCTAATAAAATGGAAACATGGGGTTATATGTACCCACTATTGCACAGCCTGGTATCAAGCTGGTTGATATGTGGAGGATAATGAAAGCATAAAAACTTTTCTTAAGTGAATAGGAGCGTTGCGTCTTGTGACTTTGTCAAGTCATTTTAAATCAAATGATTGTGATTGTAGCTTTTACTTCAATTAATTATTGTTGCTAGTTTTGACCTTTTTAATCATCAAGTTTTATGTGTACCAATTTCATGTGCTTGTGTAATGTCTGTGCGGCTTTGTGCAGTGTGCGTGTCTTGAAACAAACCAATTTATTTTGTACCTTTTTGTACTTCAACAAATGTATGTCAAAAGACAAAAATGTCGTCTATTATCATTGACACTACTACAGCTAACTTTGCCTATATTCCTATCTTTCAGAGGCATTCAATTCAATCTGCTTTCCAGTGCAGTACCTAGGAGGCTGCAACTGAAACTCGCACAAAGGCAATCAAGTGTCACTTCATCAGCCTACAGTAACAGCCCATCTGTAATCAAGATATGGATGAAATGGCATAGAAGAACAACCAATTCAAACAAGAAAAGATTGTATTTTGTTTTGGGCTATTTTTAAGCATAACAGAACACTACACTTGCTGCTTTTTATGTTTGCCTTGTGTGCAGTTTTGAATAATTTAACTATGAAATGCTTTTGCCCACTATTCTCTTTAGATAACATTCCTTTGTAATGCATTTTGAGCTTACATGCATGATGTAGGCATATTTCCCTTGGCTTCATAAAACTACTTGCAAGCTTTTGTTATGGACATTGGTGCTAATATGATGCTTCAAATGTGTCCAGTAGTTGGTGAAGGGAGAAGAGAAGTAGGACAGCTGATAGCTATTACCAAAAATATGTGCTTGTCTGCACTTCGGGCTGTTCCATCATATGCAACCTCTTTTTACCTCCTTGAGTTAAAAACAACTCATCTTTTGTTTCTTTCCTGTGTGCCAATTGTTTCCGTGGTGCTATAAATGTCAAGTTTGAAGTTGGTTAATCTAAGTGAGCAGAATGTGCATTATTTCAGCCCGTCTTGAATCATATCCCTAACTGACATCCTGTTATTTGTCCTGCAATGTATGTGCCTGTGTCCGCCCTTACCTCCGGCTTTAGCCTCAAACCAGCCCTGCTGAGCTCTGTCGCCGGCGCGGTGTGTCGCAACGTGCTGTTTCTCCACTCCAGCCGACAGCTGCTAGGAATCATCCTGTGCCATGCGCCATGCGACACAGCAATTGTAAGCTTCAGGTCACATTCGGACTGATTGGCTCCGCGTATGTGCATCCGGCCGGGCGCTAGTCGATATCAGGGACGTGGGTCGGACTGTTGTGGTGGCGTGCACTGTGGTGGTTGAAGTTGTTGTATTTCTGTCCGTGAAAAGCATTAATACATAACCGTGGCCGCAGCCCAACGTTATTGTGGATTTCAGAGGGAGTGGCCAGTCAGGAGGGCCCCATGTGGGTATGGATCCAGTGTCCAGTGGGATTGGCTAAGATTTCCGGCGATTGATAAACGCTTCTATGAAAGTAAACCTATGGAGTTATGAGGGGAGGTCACGTGACGGACCTGACCTTACTAAACTCTTGTGAAAACACGACACATACGAACGATAAGAAACCGACAGCTCTTCTTTCTGCCAAGTGTCATCTTTCTGTGAAGGATTTCTTGGCACCGAGTGTTCAGAAATTGCATTGTTTTTGGACTGTGCAGAGGCTCATGAGCGACAGCATAGGTCAACAACGTGACGTACCTTAAATATGCGACCTGTACCAGAAGATCCAGCTTGATCAAAAGATTGAACGAGTCAAATTTCAGCTCTTTAGCTCAAAAGAATTTTGAGCTATCGTAAAAACCGTCAGTGTGGCACCATATCGCCTCCCCGCGCGGTCGGAAGGTAAAAGTTCGCCGGCTCTAACTAAATAAATACGCGTCGCATCGCAAATTCATTGACGGCGTTCGAAGCATCGTTCAATTTACTTTCTAAACATATCCTAACATTAACATTTAACTGCCTAGCGCAATCGCCAACAAGCAAAAGTTCCGTGCACTCATCCTCGTACGTGTTAGCGGCCGCCGGCCGCCGGCCGCTGACCCACATTCGCGTCATCAGGGAATGCTGCAACTAATTTATTGTTTCCAACTTTTTTCCCGGAGCGTTCTACCTGGTTTATATAGCCTTGCCTACACCCCTGCCAGCAAGACCATAATGTTCTAAAAGCTAATCTTTGTTGGCAGATAAACGCGTTACTAGGCAACAGCTCCTCATTGTTAGTATGAAAAATAAAGTCTGACCGCAGGAACATCTACAATTGAACATATGCAAAACGCTGCGTCGAGGAAGAGGCAGATGATTTTCTCTAATCATATACACTGTGATTTTTTCTCAACTCGATAACGATAATATTTTGTAGCTGATTGCTTGCTGCTGGTGGCTGATTGAAGGTGGGAAGGTAGGAACTGGGGTATATAGAGTGATCATGCGTGATCATGCGTGATCATCCAGGAAATGATGCGTGTGATCTGCAGACTGCAGGTGGTCCGTGATTGCGGACTCCTTTGATACCTATCACTATCGGTTTCTGTGATTTCCAGAATTTCTGTGAGTTATTGTACCTACTCTGGCTAACAATAACAGCTAATGAATGGTTTTGCAACTAATGTACAAGCTTGTTTTTTGCTCTGTCTGTTTAATACATTATTATTTATATTTTATTTTGTCATTAAAAGATCAGCCATGCATAAAAAACCTTATCATTGTGTCCATTATGTTACTTGTATTTATACAGTGTACCACCAAGTGCGCCAATAACTGTCTCCTCATGCAACCTTGCAGATTCTACAAAAAAGTCTGTAGCTCTGACCTTTTATTGGCTCAGAAGTCATGCCATCCTCGCCATCCTGACTGACAATCTGGCATTTCCTGTACTTAACGTCCGGATTTCCTTGACTGAATCTGCATGACCCCAGCATTGCCGACCCTGTGTATTTCTTATCAGCTGAACTTCATCTGTGTACCGATTTCCCGCAAAATGAAAACCCAACAAAATGTGGGTCACTCGCGTAGAATCCAGCGACCCGCATAGTGTAGCCACATAGCCAGACCTTAACAAATCTTCGTTTGGACAAACCTTCGTACAGCTGTTTCAACCAAAATAAATGAAATAAACACCACATAATCTGATCTTACCTCACCTAACCATTGTAGGTAGCCTTCCAAGTAGGCAACACAATGGGCCAATGGGGAAGCTGCCTACTTAGAAGAAATTGATAAATCAAAATCAAAATTGAGTGTTCTAATCAGGCTCCACACTTCCGTGCATATGGCTGGAGCTGTGGTCTTGAGCTGTGGACTTAGATGTTTGCTTTTTGTTATGTCACAAGCATGATATTTATGTTGTGTTCTTGATTATTAAAAGAGATTTGTGTGGTGAAATGGGATGATCATACATTCGCCCTGTGCAGTTGGTGAATCAACCAGCTCCACTCTGGGTCTGCCTCCAGTATGAGCTTCTCGGCAGTGCAGTTTTGTGGCAGAATTGCTCCATTTCGTTTCTGTAGCACTTATTTTTTGTAGCTACTTGGTACGTCAATAGAGAAAGTTTTCCAGGGTCTCGTGCCCATCTTTATATAGAGGACAGATACCTTGCTCCTTTTCGTGTTGCCTGATACCAAGTACCAACTGAAGTAATTAATGGTGAACCATGGATCAGTCAGCCATGAAAATTATAGGTATCACTCTCTGCTGCCTGGCCTCTTAGATCTCTCTTTGAGATAATTATCACTGATATCACAACTTGGAGTCAGAAATTGAGCAACAAGTGTTTGAGAGAATTTGCAAAGTGTTGTCTGCTGGACAGATTTGATAGGTATGTGTATGCATTTTTTCAGTTGATTTTTATCCAGCTGAACCAAAGGCAACAAGATGGGAATCTTGGAGAAGATTGCCGAAATTGAAAGAGAAATTGGTCGTACCCAGAAAAATAAAGGTGAGGGCATTCATGCCAATAAACGTGTCAAATTAATCGCCTTTCTCTCATGTGATGTTTTAATTATGGCTAGCTTCATTGCTATAATCCAGTTATTATGTGTTCATAAGTTATTATTGAAGCACTTAGTTTTTTCCAGCAACTATGATAATTTGATGTGCCATGATAAAAGTTACATAAGGGACCTGACATATCAAATACTTTGGACTACATGCCAATTAGTATGTTGCTTGTGATTATACATACAGACATCAGACGTTGTTTGGCAGTACCGGGGTCCGATTATCTGACTGTTGAATGTCGTCCCCAGCGACCGAGTACCATCTGGGACTGCTAAAGGCCAAGCTCGCCAAATACCGCACGCAGCTGCTCGAGCCGCAGGGCAAAAAGGGCGAGAAGGGAGAGGGCTTCGACGTGCTCAAGTCCGGCGACGCGCGTGTGGCCCTCATCGGCTTCCCGTCTGTCGGAAAGGTGGGTATAGAATAGATCCTATTTATAGATCCTACTATAGATCGTAGGTACTAATAGATCCTTCTTCCCGTCAGTCGGAAAGGTGGGTATAGCCTCCTATATAGCATTCTATAGAATCCTATCTAACTAGTCAAACAATTCGATGCCGCTTGGCATCTGATTATTGTACGGAAGCTTTAGACTTCATCCAGATGAGTTCAACGGCTAGTAAAGATTCGCACAATCTCATTTCGCTCTTTTACCTCATTTCTTGGCGTTCGTATGGTAAACTCTTCCATCGTCATTGCCTCGCTGACTTGTTTGGCATTCTCTGCCACAAGCGACGGGACTGCGAGTCTCCGTCTCAATCTGTTCATTTCCCAATCGACCTCTTTGATCCGCTAATTTCACTACTCTTTCTCCCATACAGTCAACGCTGCTGAGCACGCTGACCAAGACGCAGTCTGAGTGCGCCAGCTACGAGTTCACCACGCTCACCTGCATCCCGGGAGTCATCGACTACAACGGCGCCAACATCCAGCTGCTCGACCTGCCCGGTATCATCGAGGGCGCCGCGCAGGGAAAGGGACGCGGTCGCCAGGTGAGTGGCCCGGACTGGAAACGCTCAGTGGGCACGAGCTGGGGCTAATCAGTCATAGCGACCCCGAACCCAACCCAGAACGTTGGCTGGTCAGAGACCTCGACTTGTGGCCGATCAGTGGCTGCTGACAAGTCAAGGGGTACGAGTTGTTACCTCAAGGTATTACCTGTGTGCGATCAGTGATCCCGAATTGTGGCTGGCCAGTGACCGCTAATTAATTGTGATGCCCAGTTTAAGTGACTGAAATAGTTGTCGCTAGTCAATCATGGCCATGAGGATTGATCTGTAGGCTGTGGCTGGTCGTCATTGGCCGCGAACCCAAATCGGTCAGTGACAGTGACCCTGGAGTATGACCGTTCCTTGACCCCAGTCCTGTGACCGCTCACGATCTATAACCACAAACTGTGACAGGTCAGCGGGCCCGGGGCCACCGCTGATCATGTAGCTATGAGTGGGTGCCGCTCCACCGTCCGTTCTCTCTCTGTGGCGTCTCCTCACCTCTCCCCACCCCTCCCCGTCTAGGTGATAGCCGTGGCGCGGACCGCCGACCTCGTCATCATCATGCTGGACGCCACCAAATCGGAGGTGCAGCGAGAGCTCCTGGAGAAGGAACTCGAGGCGGTCGGCATACGGCTCAACAAACCCAAGCCGGGTATCTACTACAAACAGAAAAAGGCCGGCGGCATCCACTTCAACTCGACCTGCGCGCTTACCAAAGTCGACGAGAAGCTTGTGCAGCTCATCCTACACGAGTACAAAATATTCAATGCTGAGGTAAGGTTTCGAAATGTATCGTTTTTAAGATATAAGAGAATGTAGCATGTCCTATATTGTGCTGTTAGATATTTTTGTATAATAATTCATTTACTCATCTAAGTTCAACTGATGGTCAAGTCATTATCCATTAGCTAGGTAGCTGTGCTGACTGGGTTTGTTTCGATGCGTTGTGGAGAATGTCTCGTAACGGAAAGCCCCTGTGCTAGTCTACGGTGAGCAGACATGTGCATGGATCCGAGTGATGGATCTTTGATCCCACTGGATCCGGCATGAAAAAAAAATTATCCTGGATCTATGATCTCTCAGGATCTGATGATAAACCAAGAACATGGATCTATGATCTGAGTGGATCCCACCATGCGCAACATTTTAAACTAAGTTTGCAACTGTTTCTATGTCAATAAGTTCCATAAAACTATGGCTTATGATGTGCTATCACATAAATCACTAAATATGAACGCTTGTGAGTTGCAACGAGCGATTTTTAGGGATTTCTGTGTTGACAATAAATAATTGAGGCTCTATGACCTCACTGGATCTCAAGCAAAAATATTAGACTCGGATCTATGATCCCTACGGATGTCGATAAATTTAAGAACTGGATCTGTGATCCCGACGGATCCGAGATCAGGATCCGTGGGATCATATCCCAGATCCATTTTTCGGATCCACGCACATGTCTGATGGTGAGTATATCCGCTGATTGCCGTTGACCAGTGTTCGTCAGCCAACTGCAACGTCCCTCTCCGCTCAAATAACGGTATCCCGTCTTCCTTCTTTCGCCATTTACTGACCCCTGACCGGCCGTATCCTTACCCCTGCTGCCGGCCAGGTGATTTTCCGCGAGGACGCTACGGCCGACCAGCTGATTGACACCATCTCCGACAACCGGGTCCACCTGCCCTGCCTCTACGTCTACAACAAGATCGACCAGATCAGCATCGAGGAGGTGGACCGGCTGGCGCGGCAGCCCAACTCGGTGGTTGTCAGGTGAGTCCCGTAGTCACGGTCCTGCAGATCTTCAGTGATTAACTCAGGTTTTTTTGTTTGTTTGTTTTGTTGGGTTAGGCCCTTTCGGTCTGACAAGACCATTTAGAGCCGGAAGGATGATAGGAATTAGGGGGAGACATTGGTCCGGGCAGGCACCCTAGAGAGTCGCCGGGGCTGAGCCCATCCAAATGGACAGGCCGACCAGCCCCCCAAGCAAGCACTCTCTGCACCCGGCTACGGGTGTGCTCCCTCGGGAGCAGCGGTGCCGCTCCAAGGGAGCAGCCCGCATGAGATAAAGGTGCCTGTCCAGCCCGGAGTGGGGTTGCGGCGTTGGGGAGAAGGATTTCAGTATCCTGAGGATAGAAGCACGGAACGGTGTGAAATTTAACTCGGGTTAACTCTGGAGTTTTCTGTCACCGTGGGGCGGAGATGATGGGAGTTGTGAGCCGCTCATGGGTAGCTGAACGGGAGCTGTCCACCCGATCGGCGTTGGCGATCTTCCTAGATGTGTGTTGTGGACGATAATGGTGCAAGTTCATTCATTGCCATTGTATACTCTACCTGCGCCGTGCACGATGAATATGGTTCTGCACACGGTGACTATAAATAGATATCTTGGTTCTGCATCTGGCTCAACGCCCTAGTGTCGAAATTCGTCACTGTTACTTACAAACCTGGGGCCTGTTCCAGCGCCTCCAGTAGAAATTCTTGACTGGAGGCTCTACCAGAGGTTTCACTGGAGGCGCTGGAACGCAATCTGGAGATTTCTGGAGATTGGCGTCACAGATACCAAAAGAATGACGATTGTTCTCTCTTGAAACGCAAAATTTGTTTTCAATTTTAGTAAGAAAGATTAACAAAATTATAGCAATGTCATTTGCTTTACATTCAAGTTGTAAAATTGTCAGTCCAAAGTCCTTTGTTTACATTCGTGATTGTCACATGTGCGCCACAATTGTAGACCAGAGCCTCCAGAGAAATTTGGACCTCCCAACTGTCTGGAGGCTACTGGAGGTTTCTGGAGCTTTGGCGAGAGCTTTCTGGAGCTTTCTGGAGGCGCTGGAACGCTCTCTGGAGGATTCTAGAGCTTTCTGGAGCTTTCTGGAGGTTTCTGGAGGCGCTGGAACAGGCCCCTGGAGATAGATGGCGCTAGTGACAAACGCCTGAAGATAGACTGCGCCGCACGGCATTGTCTTCACCGACTAAACAAACGCGAACAGATGCTTTTGGGCAATAGCCATTGCTTTTGCCTTTGTATGTGTGATGCGAGACAGATCACACAGACAATATGTCGAATGTCATTTCTGGTTACCGGAAGCTTTGCGATGATCATTTCGGCGAACTTTACCATGCGAGTGACGAACCAAATCTCAGCCTCAGCTGTGCTGAAACAAAGTGTAGAACCTTGCGAAGCCATTATAAGCTACTCCCGTATTTTCGAATGCTCCGGCAAACTGACTTTGTCGTTTCTTCTCACACCAAGATCATATTTTAGTACGATGAGGACTCCATTCACCGCTGGTACCCGCCCCTCTCCCCGTTCTGCAGCTGTAATATGAAGTTGAATCTGGACTACCTGCTGTTCACCATGTGGGAAATGCTGGCACTGATCCGCATCTACACCAAGAAGCCCGGCAAGCACCCGGACTTTGGCGACGCCATCATCATGCGGCGGGGCAGCACTGTGGAGCACGTCTGCCACTCCATTCACAGGAGTATAGTGGCCGTCTTCAAATACGCGCTCGTCTGGGTAAGACGGCCGACGGCTGGTCGGGGACGCCAGCCCGCGCGTCATGGGGCTGTGGGACGGGTGGCTGGCAGTTTGTTAACACTTATGGACTTGTCAACTGGGACCAAATTGTCCCCCTGTCTCATTTACTGCATCAGTTTTGAACTGCGCTATCTTATTCCTGCCATATTTTGTATTGTCCGCCTAACCACAGAGTCTCCGTTTTAAGCACAGCACTTCTCTTTAAATTATCATTCCCATTTGTTCTCACGTACAGTCAAAGCAACGGATTGCCATGATTGCGCTGCTCTTTTTTCGTTTTATGATTTCACTGACCGTATCTCTTGCCCGTTATGCGGTACTTGTGAATCGTGATGTCATTCACCCTCTCCCCACCTTCCCTTCCAGTCTCCTCCGTCCGATAACCCTGTATTTCTCCCCACAGGGCCGGAGCACCAAATACAGTCCCCAGCGGGTCGGTCTGGCGCACGTCGTTGAAGACGAGGATGTCATTCAGGTGGTCAAGAAGTGAGAGGACGCGGGGGACAGAGGAAGAGGGAGGGAGGCAGAGGGGCTCGGGGACGGGGCGCCGAGCGGCGAGCGGTCACGGTTGGTTCGTTCGGCGTGTGATGGGACCGGTCCGGTCTGCACTGTCTGCTGTGGATATGTGAGTCTGTGAGTTTGTATTTGACTGTCAGTGATGGTGGAGTGTATGCAATCAATGAGTGCAGTCGGTATCTGGTGTGGAAGCCTGACCCCGCCGTGTGGCTCGGCGCCGCGGCGCCCCGTCCTCGGCCGTCCCCGGTGACAATATCGGCCAGCGCCCGGGCGTCGGTCGCCCCGGTGACGGTCCCTGGGGGTGGGCTGCGCTCCCGAGTGGCCGAAAGGGGTGGGCGCGGGCGGTGAGACCGACCGTGTTTGTTTCTATCTGAAGTGTTATATTGTGAACTGCGGAGCGGATGTCTATAGGTCAATAAATATCCTGACCGAGCAGCTTCGGGCGTTTGAACTTGTGTTTTACTCGATCGGTGGAGATTACAAGCCATCGTATTACAAAAATTTATGATAGGTCGGTGATACCTTGACACCTTGATATGCGAACGAAGCGCCTGTATTGCTACGAGTAAATACAAGGATTATGACATTGCTCAGCCTAGCCATCTATGCTTTGCGCCCCGAGGCGCGACCGTCTCTATCCCTCATTAGGCACCGCTCATGCACAAATCGTCCCATCGAAAATAGAGTGTTTGGACATGCGTTTAAAACCATTACCCAGCCGTTACCTTCAGTTTTGCTATGTTGCTGATTTGTCAGTTGGTGTTTGTTAGACAATTCTGAACGCGGTTATATTTGGAATTTGAAATCGGTGGGATATCCATTACTCACCTTTATGTTTTGAAGGAGATTTGCAATATGGTAGCTGTTCAACTATTGCGCAGGTGCGGCATATGTAAATGTTCAAAAATACTGAGGGTAGTTTGCGAATGGACAGATGGATTGAAACAAAAGGGTGTATCGATATTTATCAGCAGCAAACGCTTGTCTTATGAACACTGCTTTTCCAACATCCGCGCGTGCATTGGGGCGTGAAGAGAGAGGTTGAGGCGGTTGAGGCACGCGGTTGAGGTGTTTGGCAGAATATACGGTTATTTAATGATATATTTTGCTCATGTACGGCCTTTATATTTTGTATATGAGTATGAATTTAACTTGAGGTTATATTTAGATTTGTGTTTGTATCTGACAGGAGCTGGACAAGTCCAAAAGGTCGATGGAGTCGATGGACTCGATCTCCATAAGCTCCATAAGCTCGATGGAGAACGGTTCCATCGACTCCATCGACCTTTTACCCAGGCTTAGTAGTCTCTAAGGTTGAAGTCAAATCAAATTAAGTTTAAGGAAGGTTTTGTTTGTTGTTTTGTATAAAAGGTGTATTAAAATCATAACACTGAACTATTTTAAGCTGTTGGATGGTACTTGCTTTTTATTCAACCAGTAAAACGCCTTTTGGGCGAAGAACGAGCGAGCGAGATAGTGAGCCCTGCACGTGCGGAAGGGCAAGCCCGGCTTGAGGGTACTTCCAACGGGCTTGTGCAAAGCACCCTTCTAACCGGTCGCTAGCGGTGTGCCAAATTTGAACGCAATCAGCCCAGCCGTTCCTGAGATCTGGAAGCGGCATTCTGCACGTACGCACGTGCGAATGGGTCCAAAATGACTTTTGCGCGGCACCCTACTAACTGGTCCCCAACCGTGTACCAAATTTGAGCGCAATCGGCCCAGTCGTTCTCGAGATCTGGAAACGCCCCCTGCACGTGCGCACGTGCAGTAGCACCCTAACCGCAACACATAGGAATGCATTGCCTGGTGGGTGCCTACCTGCACGCCAAGTTTCAGCGAAATTGCCCCAGTAATTACCGAGTTACTGAAATGGGAACAAATTTGGCACCTCTTCTTTTTGTATTTTGCACGTGCAGTGGGGGTCACTCACATAGATCAAGAGTATCCGACCTGTGGTAGAAGGGATGCAGCTACCCTATAAAAATTACTGCAAGACAATCGCTCAAACCGCTGCTGAGATATGGGCCTCTCAAAATCATTACTTTTGCAAAACTGCTTGAACACCCTTGACTTTTCATGTGACACGTGCCACGACGGTCACTGAGATACATCTCAGTCACTGAGATACATCTCAGTCACTGAGATTTATCAAAAGTAGTCAATTACGGGGTAGAAGGGATGGGGCTACCCAGCAAAAAAGACCGCAGGCCTATTTCTATACACTGTGCGCAGGCCAATCGGTACAGCGGTTGCTGAGATATAAGCCTCTCAAAAGCGTTACAGGCCGGGCCGGGCCGGGCCTCTCATACTGAGATTTTTCCGTTATATTGAAAAGACTTCGCTTCGCTCGCTGCGCTCGCTCGCTCGAGTCGTAACCATGCTGGGGCAGTGCCAGTGTAAATGGAAATTGAGGCTTAGAAGGCACACCAGCTATGGAGCTGTTACAATAGTCATGGCTATGGTATCTCGGCATTTATTCTTTGACTAATTTGTCCTATCTATCCACCTTTCAGAGACAAGTAGGTGACCTGCATTTGAGCAGAGGTCTCCTCTGCCACGTGGCACGCCCTCATGTCCTTAGAGCAGTAAGCATTGTTTTAGATAAAGAACACAGCGATTTGATTTGGTTTTGCAATGATGATGACATCTTTACAGGTGAGGATATCTACCTATCAATGTGATCTTGACATTCCTCTCTTAAATGAGTATTGAGTAACCACCTATGTAATTTTTGTGTTTTATGGCAATCTGAATTTGATATTAAGTCCTGTATGCAATAGCCAGATATTAAAATTAATCAAAGTTACAATGAGTCCGCTTTAAAACTTCAGTGGATTATTGAGAAATGACAGGTACTTCAGTGTATACTAGCAATGTTTGTTATACGATTAGATGCCTGATACTTGGTCACCAGTTTTCAGCCGTTCTTCTACTGGTTGGACTATATTTGGCTGGTTGTGAGGATGCCTGCTATAAAGATGGACCATGTGAGAAACAAGACACCTCCTCCTCAGTGTATAAAAGGTGAGCTGTTCTGTAATTTGTACACTTGCCAGAAGTGTGTATGCTGAATGCTGTCTGATTTTTTCTTTAATGTATCCATTTAAAACATACCTACAGTAACATTTTTTGGTTGATTTTAGTCAAAAGTATTTTCCTGTCTTCTAATTTGATGATGGACCCATATTAGTCTAAGCATAGACAAATATACAGTGTCCCATAAGTAGTCAAACAATGTCATTGGTCTTATACCCAAACATTATCCTCCCCGATCCCAGCACACCTTCCATCTGTATTCTCTGTGACTGAGCTAGAACTGGCATCTTTACAGCATCTCTGAACTGGCATCTCTGTGCGCCTCAGGTACCTGCTGTACGACGTAAACCCCGGAGAGGGCTTCAACCTGCGCCGTGACGTCTATATGCGCGTGGCCGTAGCCGTGGCGCGCCTGCGTGGATGGACACTGGTGAGCGCAACGATGAACTCCACAGTGATGTCTGCTCTTCGACTTCAGTCCCTTTATCAGCGTGTTAGACCCCTAATGTGACGCCTTGACGCCTTGTGGCATATATGTGGCGTGACGCCTTGTGTGTGCCTTTTCGCTGACTCGCTGAAACAGACTGCAGAGTTGAGGTGTTTTTGTTCCTCACCTGTATTCTGATTAACATAAGAGTTCGGTGCCTAAATCGATACTTTGATTTTCCGATTTTGTTTGTACCTATGTACTTCCCACAAAACCGACAATTATCTGTTTTCTGGCCAGGTGCTCCTGCCGTGGGGTCCGCTCTACCACTGGCGGTCTCACTGTACTTTACCCCCCCCCCCCTTCTGTACCTATCAGTTACTCCCGCCGTGGGGCCCGCTCTACCACTGGCAGTCTCACTGTACCTTACACCCCCCCCCCCCTTCTGTACCTATCAGATACTCCCGCCGTGGGGCCCGCTCTACCACTGGCAGTCTCACTGTATCTTACACCCCCCCCCCTTCTGTACCTATCAGGTACTCCCGCCGTGGGGCCCGCTCTACCACTGGCAGTCTCACTGTATCTTACACCCCCCCCCCCCTTCTGTACCTATCAGGTACTCCCGCCGTGGGGCCCGCTCTACCACTGGCAGTCTCACTGTATCTTACACCCCCCCCCCCCCTTCTGTACCTATCAGGTACTCCCGCCGTGGGGCCCGCTCTACCACTGGCAGGCCACCAATGGAGAGTACGAGACGGGTATCCCGTGGGCACGGTTCTTCGATGTGGCCAGTCTCAACAGATACGTCCCCGTAATGGAGTTTGACGACTACGTCAAAGGTAAGGCTACTTGCAGTTCGAAGCTGCCTGCTGGATTTCTAGGGAATGGGACGTGTGTCTACGCATTAAATAGTATTTGAAGGAACGTACAGCACTGACACTATTCATGTTTTAAATATATCAGCCTTGTTGTGTTTTTTTTTTCCTCCATTTTAAGTGAACATGATGAATTATTTTGTTTTTTATATTGCCTCGACTTTCCCACTATCTGTAATCCGTGCCACACATTGCGTAGTATTGAATGGAAGGCTTGTGCCTATGTCTCGTGATCAACGCCGTTGCGCACATTTTGGGAACTTAACTGCACTCATGTCCTGGCTTTGCTGTGAATATGGTGATTTGGCTGGTAATGTGATCGGTAACGCGATAATGTGCCGACGGGTGACTGATTACAATAATGTGAATGATCATGTGACGGTGACGTTACGGGCGTGTGACAGTAACGTGACAGTGCTGTAACTATGTGCTGTCAGTAACGCAGAGTAATGCTGATAGTAACGTGAGTGTTGGGAGTTAGGACAGTAGCGTGACGGTATCGTATCGATTCCCAGAGAGCGGTGCTCGGGTTGACGCCGTCCTGCATCTGCAAAACTACGCCGAGGGCTGGAGGGACGGCCACTTTGACGAGAAGTGGCACGTGCGACCCTGTCTGAGCCAGGCAAGATTTAGGTAGTGTCCAGACGGGCGCCGCCGGGTGGCCCATAGCGCTACTGACCGCTGAGGTGTCGACGTCGCCGACAATTGACAGAAATACCTAGCTCTGGGGCACGGAGGAGCATGTGTCTTGGCCTATCATGGGAGGACTTGTTCCCTTTATTTAACTGAATTGACATAATTTTGATAGTAATGGCCACAGCCCTCAGCTGGTTTTACTATAAATCATCTTTGTCTATTGCTTTTTCCAGATTTCTAGGTTTTTATTTCAATTGTGTTTTTGAGCAGGCCAATAATAGTATTTCGTTTGCAATAATGCATCATTTGTTCCCATTCGATCTTACTCATGTTGAATGGTCCAAGGCTGTCTTGATTGATTTGTACGCTCTGTGATGGTCTTTGTACCCTCCTGGCTTTGGGTCGTTCTGCGCTGATCTGATTTCTCTAGGTTAAGTATCCTATATCCATGGCTTGGGTCGGCCCGTTCTGCTGTGTACCCAGGGTTTGGGTCCGGCCTGTATACCGACACACCCAGGCGGATGCTAGGGTTACGGCATGCTCTGACTGGGTCCGTGTCCGCCGTTACAGCCGGTCTGTACCTACTGCACTGCACTGTATACCGACTGTTGGCGTTACCGTGCTCTGTGTCCGCCGTTACAGCCGGTCTGTACTGTACTGTACTGTACTGTATAGTGTATTTATACCGACTGTTGGCGTTACCGGTCTCTGTGTCCGCCGTTACAGCCGGTCCGGTGACGTGTTCAGCGGCCAGATGTGGAGCCACGTGACGCTACAGGCGGCCAACTACAGCTGCGTCTCCATCCAGGGCACCTCCAGGACGCTGGCGGAGATGTGTGCCGCCCAGCCGCACAGGTGGGTCGGACCTCTATCACGCATGATTTTCATCAGACCAACTTATTGGCGAAGTATTTACGATAAATTGCTCAAGTCTATCCTCGTGGACCGCGTTAAGACGGTGCTGGTAATACGGTAGTCTCCTGCCCACCGCTCCCTCAGGTCTATCCTGGCGGACCGCGCCGAGACGATGGTGGTTCTATAGTTAATAGTTATCTACCCACCGTTCCCTTCAGGTCTACCCTGGTGGACCGCGCTGAGACAGTGCTGGTTCTATAATTATCTACCCTTCGACCCCCTCAGGTCTATCCTGGTGGACCGTGCCGAGACGGTGCTACACCACCACTACGGCGGCCGCCAGTTCTGGGCGGCCCGGCGCAGTATGCGGTTCGCCCGACACTTGGTGGAGGAAGCGGCAGCCCTGCGCCGGGACCTGCTGGCTTCCGAGGATGAGGAGGACGGCACGCGCTACACAGACGACTGGAGGGATATGAAGGTGGGACGACGCCGACGGTCATGTACCTAATATAAGCTGGACTGTCGATGCGTCCTAAAGCCCTAGCAAGCATACGAGGTAGGCCGTACGAGTAAAGTTACGGGAGGCACCTACTGACAGAGGTGCAACTATTACCCGTGATAAGAGTAGTCACGTTTTAGATAAGATATACCTACCCGTAAAATATGCATGTCACGTATGTAGATAAAACTCGGCTGTAGTAGGTTCTTGCTAACAAAAGGACTTATAAGAATACTTATAAAAGATTTCACATTAGCATGCACCACCAGTCTCGCATATTTACCCTTAGTCGGCGACCAGCCTCAGTGACCCCTTTGATCCCACACCTCTGACCTGTCCCTGTGCCACCAGGTGAAGGCGGGCAGCGCGCGCGGCGGTCCGTACCTAGCGGTCCACCTGCGGCGTAGGGACTTTGTATCCGGCCGGCCACGCTCCGTGCCCTCGCTGGAGGCGGCAGCGCGCGCCATATCTGCGACGCTCCGGGAGCTCGGGCTGGAGACCGTGTACCTGGCCACCGACGCACCGGACAGGGGTAGGTTTACTCCACGGGTAGGGATAGTACTACTGCGCCGGATAGGGGTAGGCCCACTGCGCCGGACAGGGGTAGATTTACTCTGCCGGACAGGGGTTCATTGTTCCAGACAGGGGTACGTTTACTCTGCCGGACTGGGTAGGATATCAATGACTAGGATATACGTCCACTTTACTGGACAGTGATTGGTCCGCTTTGCCAGGCTTACTCCGCCGAATACGGGCAGGCCCATACCACCTCAGGGTACAGTCAAACCCAGCCGGATGATTTAGGGACCGGTAGGTGTCCAAAAATCCTGTTTACTCTTAACTCAAACAGTTGACTCTAACTAGAAAACTTCGTTAACTCTGATGATCTTGCCTTTTTGTCATTAGACTTATCAACGTTCACGTTTACAGTAAGACGTTCACTCTCAAGGCGCTGATATGGATGGAAACAAGGCCAACGGTAATTTCCTTGTGGACTTCTCACAAATTTGAAATATATTTACTGCACACCAATTCGTCGAAACATTATCGTCGCAAAGCGGTGATACGTAGTGTAAAATATCACACTTCATGCATGCCTTGAACGCGTTTTTACTGCTGGGAAGCATGTGTGCTTTTTATTGACGGCATTTCATTTGATCTTGTGGTGAATGCAGATTTATCAACATCTGTGTTCAGCTATGTTTTCCGAACTGGGTTATGCATCATAAAACAATGTCATGAATTTCTTCATGCCACTATGTGAATTTGCGATCTTGAGGCTTTTTATCTCCTTATATTTACCTTCAATGTAGTTCCGCTTTCGGTTTCCTTATCACAGTCGCGATGCTCGCTATGACATCCGAGCAAATCTAGACATCCCAGAAAACGGTCACTTTGTTCTTCGTTAACCCGAACTCGCCTCAACTACTGGCACCATCACACAATACGATCCGGCTGTGCGGACTGCCTTTCGGTAGAGCCTCGAGCTGCGCATCACGTGCTATTGCGTCAATGAAGCGCGGAAATCCCCGTGAGCGTGTGACGCTGGATGTCAAAACACGGCGAACGCTGGGCGCCGTGCGATTGACGGTTATCGTTGTTGACGGCGGGCATGACACCGCACTTGATGGTGACGCGATATAGATGGTCCTGGCATAGGCGGATTTCGCCGCGTGATCTCCGTGGTTGGGAAACAGTCGCAGACGGGATGGGGCTTCGCTTTACGATCACGGATGATCGCGAGCTCACTGCTCCTGACGGCTTCCTTTATTCTCCTCAGCTATCCGCCGCTCTAGACTGCTCCCACCCTGTCGCCTGTCTCCCCACTGATGACTCCTGAAGACTGAGTCTTATATGAATTGTGTATAGCAGCGCCGACATTGATTTTTCTTATGGATTTATGATACATGGTGATTGGTGATAGATGTTGACAGTTTTTCATAGTTGATCTTATCCTAATTTGTGTGCTTCCAAAGTGGAGCTTTTAGCATTGATGTGTTTCAGATATCGCCACCTAAAGTGGTCAATGGGGTCTATGGCTCTATTTCATCCGGTACTTACTACTTACTGTTCGTCGGGACTGGGGCATTATAGTAAATCCCAGGCCCACGAGTCCGCCTGGCCTCTAAAGGGTCGAACGCCAGACTTACACTCTCCCACATTGTAAGCGTGACCGAGCTGTGAACACGTTCATCCGGCATCTGCAGCGAAGGCGGCGGTAATCGGTCAGTGCGTCACAGGAGTGACTGTGCAGGATAAACAACAGATAATTGTTATCGACAACAGGATGCGTCTTTAAAAAAAAGATGTTTTTAGGTCATAAGCCGATGTTATCAAAACATTTTCAATTGTGGTACGTAACATGGGAGACGAAGAACTTGTACTTTTATCTATAGCATTTGTGGCGGCGTAACTATGTAGACGCCGATAAACCTAATCAAGGCAATATGGAATCGAGCACAACGATTGTGACCAGTGATTATATCTTTTATATTTTATTAGTATGCAACGAAAGAGGTCCAGGTTGTCTTTAACAACACCGAATTCTAACAATCACGACCATTGAGCGATATAGGTGATCGTCTGCCTCTATCGAGTATCGAGCCAAATATGTCTCATACAGACATGTGCTTGGATCCGGAAAAATGGATCTGAGATCCGATCCCATGGATCCCGATCCGAGATCCATTCAGATCATAGATCCAACCCCTCAATTTTGTCGAGAGATCTACTGGGATCATAGATCTGACCCTTCAATTTTGTCGCTAGATCCACTCGGATCATAGATCTGGCTCCCCAACTTTGTCGTGAGATCCATTGGGATCATAGCTCATAGGTGCTCAAAATGTTAACAACTTTCTTTCATAAGAAGTTATGAATACCAAAGTATGGTTAGAAACAAACAATCTTATACAAAGGCCATATTAGTAAAGGCATCTAGTTACATTATACAGAATACAAAATAAAGGAGGCTCATGACGGTCACAACTTGAGAGAATTGAGTGACATGAAGATTGTTCACAGTTCACATACCAACAGAAAAGGTTGCATTAACAATTAACATAGAGGTAAGTCAAAGTAATGACTAATGAACAATACATAACTGCTAACTAGGTACCTACCACATCACAATTCATGTTAGAATCTACATAATGATATTGAAAAGACAATCTTGCATTAAGTACTGTCTCCACGTGTAAATATTTTCGGTTTTTACGCGTTTTAGCAAACGAGAGTTTTGCGCTTTTTGCGCTTTTTAACGGACGCTTTTGCGAGTTTTGCGAGTTTTGCGCTTTTTACGCTTTTAGTTAGTTTGTTACTAGTTAGTTTTACAAGACTTTATGGCGAGTCGCGAGAAATGGTGCAAGAGATGAGAGCAGCAGATCCATCAGCCCATCTCCGCTACTTCTGGATGTCCGCTGCTGACTTCGATGGGCTCCTGGCCCTGATTCGTGACAATATACATACAGCATGCAGCATACGTGTATGCGTGTCGCGTGAACCCATCTCTCCGGGGGGCGACTGGCAGTGACCCTCCGATTCCTTTCAGCCGGTGGTTCAATGAAGACGGTGTCGGAGTCCTACCGGATCGGGTAGGGCCACTGTGCCGAAAATTGTCATTGAGTTTTGCGTTTGTGGTCCGAGCTGGGGCCAAAGGTCATGGCGTTTCCAACCACCGCAGAGCGGCACCAGTGTGCCCGTGAATTCCGGGGTGTGTGGCAGTTCCCCAACTGCTGTGGAGCCGTCGATGGCAAACATGTTATGATTCAAAAGCCGGCGAATAGTGGCTCCATCAACTGGTGGCATAAAGGCTTCCGTAGCATTGTGTTGATTGCTGTCGTCGATGCCTTCTATCGATTTTCTATCGTTTCATCGCTTTCCACACTTTCCATTGCATCTATTTCACCGTAAAATGGTATTAATAGCAGAATGATTACTTCTTTAGCCTTCTCAAAAACCGGAAAACTTTCATTCGATCCAAATGTTTGGATAAAATCGCGCGTTTTTACAAATGAGAGTTTTGCGCTTTTTAAAAGTTTTACGAGTTTTGCATGACACAACTGACGCGTTTTACGAGTTTTGCAGTTTTTGAATTTTATGAAGCCACGCGTTTTTCGATTTTTGACAAATCTTCCGCCGTGGAGATGGCACCGTGTTTAATGGTACAGATCAACGCCGGATCATGAAAAACTCGCAAAACATCAAAAAAGCGTTAAAACGTCATTAAAAACGCGCAAAATATGTACCGTGGAGAACGACCTTTAGACAACCATGAGGCTTTCCACTTTCCAGTTTCCAGCTACCACAATTGATTGTAAACAATAAAAGATGATACTGACACATGTGGCTTGGTTAGGTAAAGGTAATTCAATCTAAAGAAATATTTGATAAAATAAACTGAGATATAAACAAAACTCAAACTATAAAAATATTCAACAGCCTGCGGAAGCGATGGGAAGCGAAATATCAATTGTAATGGCCTTGGATATTTACCGTAAAATGATTATTCAGTATCTAAATAGAACTCGTGACGTCATTTCAAATAACAAATGAGCTAGGCGTTCTACCTTTGAGTATAATGAAAATAAATGAAAAATCAAACTGTAAATTCAAAAGTCCATGGAGTTTTTTTTTTAAGAATTTCAGTTTATCTGCCTCACATAATTTTACGATACGATTGTTTGTGAATATCATCTTTGTAGCGTTGAATTTAATGACGTAAGCGTAAGCTGAAATGGTTTTACATGATGGCCCTGAGCGGTGTGCGCCTTGCATCTTTATTTTATTCACTTTTCAAAAGAATAACAATAACTTACGTCATTAGTTTGAAGGGCCTATTAAGGGGAATCTTTTGGAATCATTACGCTTTTGGTCAAATTAAGATTTTTCATTGGTCAAACGATAATGACGTAATAAAACCATATTACCAAAACGTGAGCTGTGAATTTCGTTTGTCTTTTTTTGGGAGGCTCTCTCATAACAAAAGCACAGCATGGCACCACACGTGGCAGTCACTGGCACGATGCCAAAAGTAGGTAATCTGAAGAAGTTGATGTCATTTTTGAACTTGTAATTTTATTAGGAAAGTATTAGAGGTTGTGACATATTATAGTGCATGTATGGCCTAAACTTTTGAATTCATTTTAATAGGGAAAAAACGCAAGAAATTACCCAACGTTTCGCATTTATTTAATATATAATGCGAATAATATGTGCGAAACGTTGGGTAATTTCTTGCGTTTTTTCCCTTTTAAAATGAATTCAAAAGTTTAGGCCATACATGCACTATAATATGTCACACCTGTCTATTGATAATCCTCTATTAGAGGTTGGTTGCTATTCTTACTAAATCGAAATTGTGTTGCACATACTAATAGCTGATAGCTCATACGAACATTCTTGATTGGGATTTCATCAGGTGAGTTAAACCTGGCAGAAGTGGATTGCTGGATTATTTTTAACAAAACTGACCTATTTGGCTTCCAGGTTTGATTTCCTAACATCTGTCCATAGGCGGCAGAACAGGGGGGGGGGGGTGGCACCAGGTTACAGTGCCCCCCATAGATTTTGGCATTTTAATATATAGCCCTACTGGCGTTGCATGGAAAGAATGGGACCAAAATGAAAATTTGCAGTGCCCTGCTGCCACTGCATCTGTCTGTACTGTTTGTTCATTGAATTTAAGTGGCTGTAGCTTGTTGATAAGATTGTCATCAGTGCTGTCATGAAAAAGTTACAATTGGTCACAAAAAGTAGCAAATGTTGTTTATTCAAATTCAAATTTAATGATGATACCTAATGATTACAAGTGGTCTTAACCAATAACCATGTCCACAAGTGATAATTCTCAATTGTATTGCACTGTAAGGTGTACAATTATGTAGGATAAGGGTTTCATTGGCTACATGTTGTCGTGAGATCCATACAGATCATAGGTCCTCCACAAATGTTTGCCCGCTGGATCCACAGAGATCATAGATCCGACCCCTAAATTTTGTCGAGAGATCCATTCGGATCATAGATCCAACCCCTGAATTTTGTCGAGAGATCCACTCGGATCATAGATCCAACCCCTCTATTTTGTCGAGAGATCCACTGAGATCATAGATCCAGCTCTCGGATCCAAGCACATGTCTGGTCTCATATATGGCCAGTCATTCACCCTGGAAATGCGTCGTAGTGGAGCAATACTACATATAATAATACATATAATAATAATATATAATAATACAGATGTTATTAATGCGTGCTTAGAGGCTCGGATGAAGCGAACAGGATCAGTCTACTACCGAGCTTTTGGAGTAAGTCAATGAGGTTATAACGGTGTCTTAGGTACCCAGACGCCGACACTGTAGTGGAACTGCTAACGCTATGCATACGATACTTACACGTTGGAATTTTAATCTTTTAATTTTTTGACGCCTGTGCTTGCCAGATTTCACATTGGACCTAAGGTTATCACTCTTCTATCTCTGGATGGCGTCATTTTAATTGTATTATTGACACTGAAATAGCCAGCCAATGAATTGCACGCCGCCTGCGGAGAGCATCTGGTGCGTTTGAGTATCAAATCACAGTGTTCGTGGTGCGGTCACCTCCGATGACCCTCCGTTTGCCGGTGACCGCGCGGTGCTTGCGTCTGACGCCGCCAGGCGGGATACCTCCTTCTCCCGGGCAGCTAATTGGCGGCCGGTCACCCGAGCCGCCGACGGCCGTCGGTGCCGGTGCGTCCCGTCGGCACCGACACCGGTCGGGAGCGGCGCCAATCTGCCGGCGGCTCGGGTGTCCCGCCGCGCCGGCTCCGGTGTCGGTCGGTTTGTGGAGTTCAGCGCACAGTCGAGTTATT